ATTTAACTAATTTATCAATATATATTCATTGCATATTTTATTTAATATAACTTTAATTGTTATTTCATAATGTATACATAGGGTGTATCTACCTTTGTATACCGTGGGAGCTGATTCTTGAGATGATATGAACAAACTTTTTTCTTTGGGAAAATGTTCTAGTACGCTTCGTAAACGAGTTATTAACGAAAAACACGGACCAATCAGAAAACGAGTACGGTTTGCACATTCTGGCTTGATTCGGCAGTGGCCGCGAGGGCGGAGCGCCGCTAGTCGTACACACGCACAGTGGTATAAAAGCTCGAAATCATGGTCAAAATCCAAAACATCGAAGTTGTCGTTAGGGAGTTTTTGACTTATGGGTTGGTTAGTTTAATGATGCGTCCGTGTGTTGGGAAAAACGAAATGACCCATACTTTTATACCTGAATGGCAATTACACTTCGAATTTCGAGTTTTTCGGGCAGTGAATAGTTTAAAGCGTGTATGTTTTTGTGGAAGTGTTTTTTTTCAATTGTGTAAAATGGATATTGTTCCTGGTAGTAAGTACAACATTTTGTACCGCTAACATCTCACGAATTGTTAACTATTACATTAGTAAATCGATAAATTGTAGATTCAAATTATAAGAGCAAATGGAATGCATTTACTGTAAAGTTATAGTCGAAACTTTTGCGGCATATGAGGGCCTGCTTTCAAATTTACAGGAGCCATAGTTTATAGTTTCATCTAGCTGGCTGCATCACGTTGCACTTTTTTCAGTTACAACCATTTTTGTGAGTCAACGTACGGGAAACTGTCTCGTGAGAGTATCTAAGACGGAATAACTTTCTAAAAATCGTGACAAATTGCTTACATTGTTTTGAGATGTTAGAAAAAACACTTTATTAGGCAATGTCGAAAACTATTTGAAAAAACAAAATAATTTGTTAGATTGAAAAAAATGTTTCAATTTTTGGTTTTCTGTTTTCTGTCTAACTAGGAAAGAAGTGTTCCTTATTATTAAAGAAAACTGAAATAGTGACAATAATTCAATAATAGAATATTTTAAGCAAAAAACAAGGGAACTGTATACAGGACTTTTGGCTTCGTAGCCGATCGACCTTCCCGCATAGCCATGGAACCTTCCTCATTTCCCAATTTTTCAACAACCGCCTTATTTGATCCGCCATTTTGTTTTTCTGATTTTTAAATTCATATTCGAAATCAGGATTTCCGAAGATATATGTTCACCAATTTTTGTTAAAATCAAATCATTTTTTCAACAACCCATCCGCCATATTTGATCCGCCATTTTGTTTGGGGGATTTTTAAATTTAGATTCGTAATCAGGATTTCCGAAGATATATGTTCACCAATTTTTGTTAAAATCAAATCATTTTTTCAACAACCCATCCGCCATATTTGATCCGCCATTTTGTTTTTGGGATTTTTTAATTCAGATTCGTAATCAGCGGCCATGAAAACCCTTACGTACAAATTTTCAAATAAATCTGTCACTATTTCTTATTTTGACCATGATTTCGAGCTTTTATACCACTGTGACACGCTATGAATACTCCGTGTTTTTCGTTAATAACTCGTTATTGAAGCCACGGAGAACATTCTCGCTAAATATTCAATATTCTTGGGACACCCTATATATGCATTTAAAATACATATTTAATTTATACATATATGTACATCTCTCGATAACATTTAATTTACCAATACATATTCATTGTATACTTTATTTAAATATAACTTTTATTATTATTTCTTGTGATACTTTTATTTTTATTTTTATTAATATTGCTCTGAATTTATATAATTCATCTCCAAGTATATCATTTTGCAACGGCCAGAAAAATAACACATTTCTATCAATAATTTAATTGTAAAAATAATAATGTAAAAATAATTCAATTGTAATTACAATTATAGATGGCGGACGTAAATTTGCAGTTTGCCTTTCGAACATAGCCCCGAAAACATATAGGCATTATCTTAATTTATACAAAAAAAAGGGAACGCGACGAATTTCAAATTTAAACGCGACAACAAAGAACGTTCGATTTTTAGCTACACCGTACCAATACATTGAAACAAAAGGAGCAATGAACAACGGATTTCGAACGCAGTCCTACCTTCGAAGCAATAAGAATCAAACGAGACCTGCGTCGCTCTAACGAGATATCGATGCGAACTTGAAACGGGTGTAACAGATTCCTTTGAACGACTTTTAAGAGATACTTCTGAAAACCTGCGACGACTGCCGCTTCGGTTCAACGTAATGGAATATTGATATTCTAAGGCACGCTGGTTTGCTCAGAAAATGTTTCTCACTTTCCTACTGGGGTTTTAAATTGTTTATCTAACGAACGGTTGCGATAACGCTGTACAACAAATTTTCATCGGCTTCTCGATTTTCAACATTGTGAAAATAAATTTTAAACAGGGACACAAATTTTTATTTAAGATTATTACACTATTCCAACTTGCACTCCATGGGCTCTACTGTATAATTAATTATTATTTTACTTGGGCTTGATTTATTATTATTACTAACTTGTTCGCTCTGATTCCACTCTGATTCCAATTATAAAATAAAATCTTGGAAATAAAATATTACCGGAGACACGAGTTTTAATTGTGAAAACTGCTTTGCTCATGATTATTTAATGAACGATGATAATACGGCCACTCGGGAGCACCGTAGCCAGAAAAATATGCTAGATTTCAAGACGAAGGAGTAGGGATAGGTCACATGGCGCGGCGGGTCTTGTTGATTAGTGCAGCCTCCTCGTCACGTGGCCCACGCCCATCCCTTCGGCTTGAAATCTGATCTGGACGACGCAAGTGAAGGTCAAATTCAATTAACGTTGCTCTCCTATTGTAAATATTTACCGATTTTTCCTAGATATCTCCGCTTCAAGAATTGTTTATCGTGAAACTATGAGAAACTTCTCCTCATGTTTCAACAATATCTGAGAACTTTAAATTATATTATTATATAATAATATAATTTATTTATAATATATATATATATATATATATATTAAATTATATTATTATATAATAATATAATTTATTTATAATATATATATATATATATATATATTAAATTATATTATTATATAATAATATAATTTATTTATAATATATATATATATATTATATAAATACAGTGGAGAAATAAGAATTGAGCTTATTGTAAACGTTGAGGAGAATCCACGGAATTAGTCAGAAACGTGTACACAAAATCAGAAATCGAAAAGGACTTTGAAATTTGTTGTACGAAACTCAATCATATCACCGTAGTTGCCTCTACTATCCACTACTGTTAATTAGCTCGTCGATAACGCGACCGAAATCTTCAACCATAAACGACAAAAGACCACCATTGAAATATTATGGGTACCCATAGGTCCTTGATCTTTCTTAATAAGTAATTCACTTTCAGTTTTGTTACTAATGTCTTTGACAAACGAAGATGTATTTTGTTTGCACGAAGTTTGAACAAGCTGTACAAAGAGAAAAGGTGCTACTGTCCAAAAGAAAATGGCGAACCATTTTCAGATAACAGAGCATAGCGTTCTATAGCGATTTTCCTTCACTCAGTGCTAACTGTTATTTATTTGCCTTGCAGCTCTTGGAATATGCATACAGTGACACAGTGCTCTGTAAATGTGGTTAGTTGAGTGTGAATTCTTATGCATTTACAGAAAAAATCGAGAAAGTCAAAAAGACGTTTTGTTTTATTTTCTTTTTACAGAAAGGAATTTTTTTTATTAAGTTTCATTCAATAGTATCCTCTTTCATTTTCAACTTTCATAAATCAAACAAATAGAATAACATTTTATTTAATTTCAGTTTTGTAGTAATTGCACGTAAAAATATTTTATACAATGTCCGTGCAGTTTAGTAATTGGTAAATTTTATTTTGCAAATTTTTATTTCATTTTGCAAATCCTTGTGCAAAACAAAAATTGTCTGCATTAAATATGAATACAATAAATACAAAATATAAATACAAATATAAGTGCAATATTTACTCCGTTAATAGAACAATTTTAGTATACAATATTCATTGGATTCTTAACGTTTTTTTTCATTGTTTCGTAATGTACTAAATGAAAAGTTCGTTCAGCTTAAATAAGAATTTATAATCGAGAAACAATAAAAGAATTTCTGCGATGCACAGTGCAGACACCGAATTATTTAATTAGTGAAAATATGACATATTTCAGAATATGTTTATTATCCAGTGACAAGCTTTGTTATTATTTCATAAATGCATAAAAACTGCAGCCTAAACATTCTTAATTGCATTTTTTTGAAAGAATTAAAGACGGGACAATTGTAAATATGACTCACTGACAATGAACGCCGTTAGGTTTGTCGATCGATCAGTGAATATAGCACCTGCAATTTGCACCAGTTGGCTCTTAAACCCCAATTATTAGAAATGCGTTGCATCTACATGATTAATGCGCGCAGACGGCTTCGCTAAATTGCGTTGCTCGAGAATGAGCTTACAGTACTCGAATTTTAGTCTATGTTTCATATGATGAACGAGATTTCTACCCCATAATTACTCGTTACATGGAAATGAACCTTAATGATGGAAAATACATATCCACGTGTTTTTGACAAATTGGTTTCTCAAATTCTATCTCCCGAGTAAACAATATGAAAAATTCTAAAATCTTCTTAGGGAATTTTAAGCAACAATGTTTGCAATATTATTTCACATTTAATGATTTAAACAGAAAATTTAAATATTAAAATTATTTTCGTTCAAGACATTATGAAAAATTTAACATTAAAAATTTTTTAAACTTTAATTTTAGAATTAATTTATATAAATTTTGGAGGACAATCGAGTGTGATTTTTTAAAAATTGACATACTTTAACTGTTGCATAAAATTATTTTATAAAATTTTTTCCCAATCAGGCACTAAAAATACCTAATTAATTTACAAATTTAATGTTTACCTAATTAATTAAAAATACTTTTATTTAAATAGTATGACGTTTCGGTAGTTATTTTCTTGCAAATATATTGAAGATATTTGTTTGAAATATATTAATTAGAGTTATCGATTGAAATGTTAAATAAGCAGTCGCAAATGTCGATAACTGGTACAATACAAAAACAATCAATACTACGCTTCATTAAACATAAAAATTTGAAATATAGTAACGATTGGCAATCATAAATCCAGATCGCATAATCTTTTACTGGCTGTGCACGTCACGGCCGGAAGAGTAAAGGAACTTTATAGGTACGACAAGAGTCTTATTTAAATAATAAGGAGATTATTTATTTGATAAGAAGCGGGGCCAAGACTTTTAATAAAAAGTGCTTTTTCTATACTGTAAAATGGAACGGGGACGGAAAGGGTGAAAGTTGCGTTTGCATTCGAACTTCCAGTTACTTTATACAGTTTTCTTTAAGAAATGTGAAGACGAGACGATATGGAGGGAATTGTTCAGCGGACATTGTTATTGTATCTCTTAATATTGTTCAACACTTTAGAAAAGGTTTGGTGAATTTTAGTTCAGGAATATTAAAGGAATGGAAGTAAATGACGTATTTTTAGCTTTACCTCTGTATGGGCTCACTGACTGGCACTGTGCTTATAGAGAGCACTGGATATGTCTTCGCGACACTGTAAAAATTTTATATTACTGTATTATCCATTCTCAAAAGCTATAAATTTTGAAACACTGGATACGAATTTGTAAACTATCGTTTTTACTCACTTTAACATTCCGAAATTTAACAAAAAGTCAAATTTTCAATATTAAAAAATATTAATATTGCAACGATAAGGGCTGTACGAATATTTCTTGCATTCAATGACCCTACATATTATTTCTATGACAATGAAATCATTTAAACATATTTACATAATTTTTACATAGATTAAGTCACTGTTAATGCAGCAAAATCAAATTTCAAATTTTTGTGTTTGTAAAAAAGGTATATATTTTCTTATGGCGTTATAAAGATGCAAATATGTTTAATCGATTTTTTTCGATGCATTAAAATCCATATGAAAGTCACTTATTAATTATCAGAAAATAGTAAACAATGGAAATTTGTTGAATATTATCATTGACCCGTGGCTCTCATTTTCTGGTAATACAGAAAATGACTGTACAGACTGTACCTTTTGTACAATCGACAAAACGTGCTCATAGAGAGGGAATTCTATTTTTGCTGATATAACCACAATCTCATATTTGAGAGAGAACTACGAATATTTCTGCAAAATACAAATAATTTCTTTTTTCTTTAAACATATTGAAGAATGAAAGACGAATAAAGATCTTCATTAAATTCTTTATTTATCGTATTTCACCGATAAACGATATCAAATATGCAATATTTACACTTCGATCAGAGCTAAACTAACCTAACTTAGACGTGATAGACACTTCATCGAATAAACCTTAATTCTTTCAAATATTAACATCTCAGCAATGCTGTAATTATAATCATATAATTACATAGATACCATTGAAATAATTGTTATAAACTACCTAATAGAACTACAATTGTTATAATTATTGGATCTGTAAACATAATTATAATTCTTATAATTCTTATAATTATTATAGTTATTATAATTATTATAATTATATGATTAGGACAACATTAAAGATTCCATAGACCCTAAATACGTTGCAATTAGAATTATTATAATTCGGACTACGTGATCAATTTGGATGACCTTGAAATATATGACGTGTAACATTCGTGACAGAAAAGAAATCATTATTCCCGAGTCATTCGAATCGATCAAGCTATCCCAAATCTGTATAATAACTTTGGAATTTCTTCAGACGATGACCAACTTCACCTTAAAACACACACACACACACGCTAGCAAAATCTCGACAAAATTGCTATGCGCTCCATAAAATGTATCCTTCAGAAAATCTCGGACGTGCGTACCTGTGAATCATATACACACTTTGTACGATCTCGAAATGCATATCGACGGCTTCAGTTTTAAAATAGCGCAATATACTTTTACTATACACGCTTCGTTTAACCGTGTTTGGACCATGTTTTATTCGAACTAGCATATGATTTGTGACATTACCATGAAAAAGACCACCTATTTCCAAACGAAATCGACAAATGAAAAATTTCGCAACATTCGCGGTGAACGAAGTAGGAAAGTTTCGAATTTCGGACTCGGAAGTCTTGATAAATCACGCTGGATTATAGTCTGTTTCTCGGCAAGAAAATATCCAAGATTCGCAGACAGTCGCAACAGCTGTCCGCCCCACTCCTCTCAATCGCTTGACACGCGAATGGGCCAGTGTGGACAGCTATTATGACGCGCGCCGCAACTCAAGTTTCGGCTTCCGAAGAACAGAATAAAACGAACCGCTGAATCACTTTCCGGATGGTTATGTCACAAATCGATCTCGGAACAACTTTCAGTGACCTCGGGACCGCATCCGTTGGAATTTTATACAACTTAGAAATATACGGGATATGGGGATGATCCGTGATACACGATTTCTCGTCGAATCGAGCAAACAAACTCAGCAATACTCTTCACCTTACCGTTAGTACTCTCGATACATATTATATATATACATTAAATATTATATACATATATATACTGCTAAGTATATCTACTAGCTAAGAACTTCGCGTGTTCAATCTGACGTAGGAATTTTTATACGAGCCCTAGTGGAACAACGAACGCAGTGTCTCGCGATTCGTTGATAAAATCATTTGCGTAACGCAGACAACTTTCATTTGTAGCCGTTCGATAGCGTCTAGGCGAGCGATTGCTTTGAAATTGTACAACTATCATACAGACGGAGGATCGACGATCAGTGTAAACATGCGTCGACGTAGCGTAAGAAAACGATTTACCAGCAATATAGCGGTTAGGAGTAGCGGCGCGAAGTTGGCGTCGGTTCTATCACCGTGTACGAACCGTAGAAGCGAAACTACGGCAATTTCTGGCGCGCATGCGCCCGCGAGTGAATATTAGCTTCGTCGCAAACCAATGCCAGACGCGACGTTCCATTCCTTGATAACGAATTTGCAGTGCGACTGGGTCCATGTGTACAGTAAGTTCCAAAATTATTGGCGAAATTATATTTGCAGATATATATCTCGAAAAGAAATCATCAAAACTGTCGGATTTACGAGGGTGTTTTGAATAGTTCTCCAATAGAACTTAACAATACAGATAGAATGATATTTTTTTAAATTAATAAAAGTTGCTAACAATATATCTCCATTCTTGAAATCACAGAAATATTGACTGAGACGCTTAAATGAAAATTTGTTTTTCAATAATTTGTACTAGATTGTTTTAGATTAGTCTTTTCGTTTAATTGCGTGATTTTTTAATGATTAATTGACTTAATTGCTGTTTCGTTACACGTGATAAGTAAATTATTATCAAATACACAAATCCGTCGAGTAATATTCTCTGTCTAACTATATATCTATGCCAATAATTTTGGGACCTTTTATAGGTTCATCGTGAACGTAGCTTCAGAATTTTGAATATTTAATCAGTGTATGCGCACACAAAAATCAGACGCGCATGCGCAACACGATTCGAACTTACCGGAACGTTTGACCGTTTTCCAACGTTTCCAATCTTTCGCATGCGGCCTCTTCGTTCTTTTTCTTCCACAAGATCAATTTAAAGGACGTCAACCTAAACTAGCGGCGACGAATGACGAAGGCTGCGATCGCATTCTCGCATCTGGTATTCTGTGGGTATCACGAAGCACGGCATCGTCACTTATATCGCACGTTTTGCTACCACCCGTATAACACCGTGTTTAAACGCGCATGTGCGTACGAGTTTGTGCACCATGAACATAGGTAGAGACCTGCATACTTGATCTAGGAATTGCCGGCGATGTCTTCTGTGAATATTTGTGTTTCGTTGTTGGAACCTCGAAATATTTCTGTAAAATGGATGCAAAATTTGATCGCCATTTTTAACATTTATTCACAAATTGTATATATATATATTCGTCGAATACTGATTTCTTCTATGTTTCGATTCAAATTTCGCGCGCTAATGCCTCTGATACACGAACGACGAACATGTTTGTCAATAAAAATTAAGCAGCACGCTCAGAATTATTTATAATTTTATCTATGAATTCTTTTATAAATAAATCCAATAATAATGTTTACACTCTGAGTCGAAACGGACCTGACGTCCGCCGTCTCCGAGGGTCTCTAGTTGACATACAAAAACTTCAAAAAATTCCGCGCGCGAAAAGCACAATATTCGAATCATGATATTATGAGAAATAAATATACACAATTCCTTAAACTGAATGTTATATAAAAAATCATGTTTATCGTATCAGAAGTGTAACTAAACGTTCTTACACCTTCGAACCGTCATTCGTACCTACTTTCTACGAATATTGAGGAGTTCGAACAGCGAAGTACAAATGCGAGAAGCTACATTCACTTCGTACCTAGCTTCGGACGCACGCGCGCACGAGGTTCGCCCGGATGCGCGAAGTTTTGCGCGCGCGAGGATCCTTTGCGATTCTACATAACCTCTTTTGCCTTCTCTACGACTATTTTCTATGATAATTGACATTGACACAGGAGATTTGCGCCGAACCTGTTGATAACTCTGTAAATAGCGGCAGGACCGCCTGTAGCATTATCGAATTATGGATACCGAACTGCACACGTTGTTATTAGAGCGTAGACATAGTCGACGACAATTTTTATGCTTGCTGATTATTATTATTATTACATATAATATATACATATATACATAGTCGGAGGGAAGCGTCAGCGTTTTTCTTTCATACGAAGTTGTAGGACGAGCTTCGGACGGTTCTAGCGTCCAAAGCGAATTCATTCTTGCGTTATCGATATAATATGTGTATGCAGTTTCGAGTGCGTAAGCATTAGGTGCATACTTTTAGTGAAATAGCATTCATTACTGTATACGCTGGCTGTAGCTAATTTGTAAATAAGCGAGTATGGGTAAGGAGACGTTCGCTTCTGAACTGGAATGTTCTTCGTCGAGAGCGTGGCTGGCGAGTTTGTTAACGAGCTCAGATGAACGTTCAGAACATTTGTGGAAATGTGTTTCCTTGTGCGGCGCGATTGAATCGTGTGTATAGTTTAACAGGATTTGTCAAAATTCTTTTTATTTAACTCTGTCCCTTTTCAAAATAATTTTTATATTGATTTCATTATTTTCGATTCGAACAGGCTCTAAAGATGAAGTTCTTGGATCGCGAAATAATAATAAGGAATGCGATCAACGAATAGGACGATTTTTCAAAATGAACTCGCTGGAAGAATGTTATTGAACATTTTTTAGCACAAATGACGCGTTGCAATTGTCCTTAATACAAATTTCGAATAGACACAAATAAGACAGCGACATAACAAGATGATCAGAGAAACATATTATTGTTCGTAAATAAAAGGACCTCAGCAATTATTTAATCGTTGCACAGTTCATCGGCGTGACCGATTCCTCAGCCACGTAGAAATATTAACAAACTATACTAAAAAATAAATATCAATAATCGTTTATTTACTTCAGATAATATCTGAAAAGTAACGGTGTAAACAGCACAGTTTTATTAAATTTTCCAGACACAGAAATTAAAAGTCCGGAAACACGCGATTCAATCGGCCGATAAGGAAGGAACCTGTAACAATTCAAATTTAACCGTCGGTAGAGCATGACTGGAGAGCGTATATTTGGAGAAGGTGTCGCGTAGTTTATTTATCTCGTAGACTAAAAAACAGAACCTTTGTAATAGATATAATCGCGCGAACATGGACTCTCCATTATCCGAACGGGGGGCGCCGTTCGGAGAAGAAAACCGAATTATTTATTACTTCGTTTCACACCGACAGTATGATCGATGACACATGAGAAGACGTCTGGTAAAGAAAGCAGTGTCCTATGGGTACCAAGTAAAAGAAAAAGAGCAAGTGAGGCAGAGATCGAGCGGAATATACGTAGTTTAAGCAACACCTCGAAGATC